TGATAATATGAGGGGGCTTGTACACTTTAAACAAATTCACCTCCTCCACTCTATTTCCATTTTGCCCCTTCTTCTCTCCTTCTTTTCAAATAGCATTTGATGGGTTTCACTATGCTGCATTGTATGTGTATGTATATGTATTTATAATATTTGTTATATATACACACATATATAGTTATATAACGTCCATCATATAGAATATAGAATATGTATATATTTTTTTGTCAGTCGTGGGGCTTAAACTCTGGGCTGGGGCGCTGTCCCTGTGCTCTTCAGCTCAAGGTTAGCGTTCTACCGCTTGAGCCACAGTGCCACTTCTGGTTTTCTGGTGGTTATTGGAGATAAGAGTCTCACAGAGTTTCCTGCCCAGGCTGGCTTTGAACCTTGATCCTCAGATCTCAGCCTCCCGAGTAGCTAGGATTACAGGTGTGAGCCACCAGTGCCCGGCATAACATGTATTTTATATGATGGATTTCATATGTGTATATACTATGTGCTCTATACATGCATATATATAATATATACACAAATTAATATATGTATATATTTTATGTGTAAGACACATACATACTTATATACACACATTTATATGTATATATACATCTATGTATGTACATATGATGTATTTATGTGTATGCATATGCGTACAGCCTTTGATCCTCTTCATTCCCCTTCCTCCCCTTTCCATTGAGCCTCTCCCAGAGAGTCATCTTTTTGTACTGAGGATCGAACCTAGGATGTTGTACTTTCTAGGCAAGTGATTAGCCACTGAGCTACATCCCAGCCCTACCCTTACTTTCTTCATCGTTATCACTATTATCCTCTTCTTCCTTTTAGGTCTATCCTCCACAACTGAGCGAGTGAGAACATGTAATGTGTGTGTGTGTGTGTGTGTGTGTGTGTGTGTGTGTTAGTATGGAGGCTTGAACTCAGCGCTCACCTGGTCTTTTTTTTTTTTTTTTGCTGAAGGCTGGTACTCTACCACTTAAGCCATGCCTACACTTCTGGCATTTTGCAGCTTCATTGGAGATAAGAGGCTTTGAGATTTGTCTACCTGGGCTGGCTTTCAACTTGCTTCCTCAGATCTCATGCCCTGAGTAGCTAGGATTATAGGTATGGGGCATGTGTGCCTGACTTGAAACTTCTAGGAAGTCTTGCTTGAACTCCTATTCTTCTCAATACACACAGTCTTGACAATTGTTTTATTTATGACAGTGTTAACACTTACCTCCTGTGCTAGATTGGGAACTTAGAAAGGATTGCAATTGTGACTATTCTTTGCTATTTCCTGGGGTGGGTGGGTGGGCAATGCATCATTAAAGAGTTGTTTTTTGTTTGTTTTTTTAAAATCGCTGTTCTATAGAGAAGTGGATTAGCAAGGAGGGATGGTTGGTGAGAGGAAGTTAAGACTATAGAGAAACGTAATGAGGGGAAGGGACTTTGTCCACAGCTGTTTTGAAGTCTTTGCTCAAATATCACCTCTTAAACATTGACATAGGAAACCAGATGCTGGTGGCTCATGCCTATAATCCTGGCTACTCAGGGACTAAGATCTGAGAATCCTGGTTCAAAGCCAGCCTGGGGTTGGGGGGAGGGGTAAGGAGAGTCTGTGAGAGTCTTTTCTCCAATTAACCATCAACAAACCAGAAGTGGAACTGTGACTCAAGTAGCTGTAGCTCAGGTAGCGTACCATCCTTGAGCAGGAAAGGAGTTCAAGCCTCAGTCTTCCACCCCTCCAAAAATAAAACAAAAAAAGAGCTTTGACCCAATGGGCTGGGAATGTAGCTTAGTGGTAGAGTGCTTGCCTAGCATGCATGAAGCCATGGGTTCCACATGAACAGAACTAGTACCATATACACAGAAAAGGCTGGAAGTGGTTTCAAGTGGTAGAGTGCTAGCCTTGAGAGAAAAAAAAAAAAAAGCTCAGGGACAGTGTCTAGACCCTGACTTTCAAGCCCCAGGACTGGCAAAAAAAACTCCAAACAACTCCAAAAAACTTTGACCCAAGAAAACTTGAAGGCTTGATAGAGAAAATATATCATCTACCTAAAAAGAAAAACATTTAGCAGCAGAACAGTAGGTATACTTAGCAAAAAAGGACAAGGCAATCACATTTCAACAATACCAGAAACCAGGCCACAGCAGATAAAGATTTACATAGCATATAGAGAATATTGGTCCAGCTCTTGTTTTCCAAATCATCAATGCTTTAAGATATTTTCTGGAATACACTGATGGATTGAATTGATTGGCTTTTTTGAAAGTAGAGACTCACCAAGCTGATGTTGAACTCACCATTTTCCTCCCTCAACCTCCCCAGTGCCATGGGCAAGTGCCACCATAACCAACTTAAAAAAAAATGTTGTCATTTAACAAAATCCCGTGATAGTCCTCATGTTTTAACCTGGACTAGTTTTGCATGTTTTCAATGCAGTATGCCAAATTTACAGTATCCATTTACAGACTTTTTGCACCCAGCTGGGGAGCTTGTGGCCTGAGACAGTTCTTTTTCTTTTTTTTTTTTTGGCCAGTCCTGGGGCTTGAACCTAGAGCCTAGGCACTGTCCCTGAGCTGCTTTTGCTCAAGGCTTGAGTCACAGAGTCACTTCTGGCTTTTTCTGTTTATGTGGTACCAAGGAATCGAACCCAGCGCTTCATGCATGCAAGCACTCTACCACTAAGTCACATTCTCAGTCCTGAGACATTTCTTAAATCCAGGTCCCTTTCCTCCTCTTCTTTCCCCTTTCTCCTCCTCTGCTTTGTCCCCTCCTTCCTCTCCTCCTTTGTTTTTGCTTTTGGCTGTGAGGTTTGAATTCAGAGCCTCCTGCCAACCCTTTTTGCTTTCTTTAAAAGTAAGGTCTTGAGTGTTGCTGCTGGGCTGGTCTTAGCAATCCTTCTACCTGCACCTCCCAAGTACTGGGTTGCCAGGTATTGTACTGTCACTCCTGGCTTGTTAGTGAAGATGGATCTTTGAAATTTGTGGCCTAGTCTGGCTTCCAACTGCAGTCTTCCTCAGAGGCTGGAATTATAGATGTCCTGCCCTACTCATCCTTATTGAGAAAGCATACTCAGAAGGAAGTGACAGTGGTTAGTCAAGGAGATGTTGCTTTTCTTTTCTTGCCCTTTCCCGTCCTTCCTTGGACACAGGTGTTCCCTGTCTAGCCCAGGCTGGCCTGAAAGACCCTTGCTGCCATCCTCCTGCCTTGCTTTCCAAGTGCTGAGATTACAGGCATATACCACCACTCCCAGCTAAATCACTAGAGTGTGTGTGTGTGTGTGTGTGTGTGTGTGTGTGTGTGTGTGTGCATGCACACACGCATTAGTCCTATGGCTTGAACTCAGAGTTTGGGTGCTGTCTCTGAACTTTTTTGCTCAAGGCTGATGCTCTACCACTTGAGCCACAGCTCTACTTTTGGCTTTTTGCTGATTTAGAGTCTTACAGACTTTCCTGCCATGATCCTTTGAACCATGATCCTCTGGTCTTAGCCTCCTGAGTAGTTAGATGTGAGTAAGTGGCACCTGGCTTGCATTGCTATTCTGTGTGTGTGTGTGTGTGTGTGTGTGTGTGTGTGTGTGTCCATTTACATGAATTGTTTTTACTGTGTCCAAACATTTTGGAAAATGTCAACACTGAAATAACCCAAGGAAGCTGGATGCCATTGTTTCACACCTGAAATCCTAGCTACTTAGGAAGCTGAGATTTAAGGACTGTGGTTGGAAGGCAGCCTGAGAATGAAAGGCCTTGAGATTCTTTATCTCCAGTTTAACCACCAGAAAACTGGAAGTGGCACTGTGCTCAAATAAAGCACTAACCCCGAGTGAACAAACTCAGGCCCTGAGTTCACGTCCCATGACTGACAAACGAACAAAAAAAGCAAGGAATAATACAATGCATAGCTATACACAACCTTCAGTTAGTTTTATCAGTTTGTAATGTTTCACTACTGTGATTTTTCTGTTCCTTTCTTTTGCCCCAAGTAGTTCATTGAATTGTATCCTAAAAATGAGGGCCTTTTTATACATAAAAAAGTTTTACAAGGGGCTGGGAAGGTGGCTCAGTGGTAGAACGTTTGCCTTGCATGCATGAGGCCCTGGGTTTGATTCCCCAGCACCATATAAGCAAAAAGAAAAAAGCCGGAAGTGGCGCTGTGGCTCAAGTGGTAGAGCGCTAGCCTTGAGCTGAAGAGCTGAGGGACAGCGCCCAGGCCCAGAGTTCAGGCCTCATGACCAGACCCCCCCCAAAAAAATGTTTTACAAAATGCCATTATCTGTTTATTCTATTCTAATTAATATCCTTATGCTGCTGCTTTTTTTTTTTTTGTCGGTCGTGGGGCTTGAACTCTGGGCCTGGGCGCTGTCCCTCAGCTCTTCAGCTCAAGGCTAGCGCTCTACCACTTGAGCCACAGCCCCACTGCCGGGTTTCTGGTGGTTAATTGGAGATAAGAGTCTCAGAGACTTTCCTGCCGGGGCTGGCTTTGAACAGTGATCCTCAGCCTCCTGAGTAGCTAAGATTACAGGCGTGAGCCACCGCCGCCGGCTCTTATAATTTTTATCTTTAAAATAATAGTTTTCACCCGGTACTGGTGGCTCTCGTTTCGTGAATGCTAGAAAAGCACTCTACCAGTAAGCCACATTCCCACCCCCTCTATTTTCTGTCTTACAACACCAATTCCTATGAGGACTTCAGTATTTACTTTCGCTTCCGACTTGTGTTGACATTTACGTTATTGTTGGTAACACCCCTATTAGTGTTTACATCGCTGTTCCTAACACACCCAGTGTGTCACATCCATCGCGCCTCTAGGACAGGTGTGCAAATGTCTCTTGCCTCTGGTTCCCCGTTTCGCTCCCCAGGTTTTCGACAGGACGTGTGGCCTCGACGATCCCCCCCCCCCCCTCCCCTCCAGCGGGCTCTGGGCCCGGCCCATGCCGCACAGCCTTCTGGGAGCCGTAGGCATCCTCGGTCCTTCGCTCCCAAACTACATCTCCCGGTAGGCTTTGCTTCTCCCCACGCCCTTCGAGGCGCATGGCCTGCCGGGAGGGGGCCGAGAGTCGGCGGCAGGGTCCAATGGGTGCGAGCTCCCGAGGAGAGGGCGGTGGAGCGGAGGACGAGGCAGGTTCTGGGCTGGGTCCCCCATTCATTGCCGCAGCCAGCCGGTCGGGGGTCCCGGGTTTCGGGAGCCATGGAGGCCCTCATTCCTGTCATCAACAAGCTACAGGACGTCTTCAATACCGTGGGCGCCGACATCATCCAGCTGCCGCAGATCGTCGTGGTGGGGACGCAGGTGAGAGTCAAGGGCCGCGTTCGCCAGGCCGGAGCCCCGGGCTGGGGTGGTGGCTGCGCCCGCCTAGGGGCCGCCCGCCGCGGGCGTGAGGGCAGGGCCCTGCCGGGGGTCCCGGGCGGGAGGCCTGCGCCGCGCCGGCTCGTCCTCGGGGTGAGGGGCAGCGGGCGGAGACCCGGGGCCCGGCGGGGTGGCAAGGGGCGGAGCCTGCGCCGAGGCCCGGGCCGGCGGGCGGGGCGGGCGGGGCGGGCGGGGCGGGCGGGGCGGGCGGGGCGGAACTGGAGGCCGCCGGCCCGGGTGAGGCTCAGTTCGCGGCCGCCTCTTCCAAGGGCACCTGGGGGACGCGCCGGTGGGCCTGGCGGTGGGGGCGAGGCGGGCCCCGTCTCCCCCGTCTTCTGGCCCGGGGAGTGCGGAGCTGCGAGGCCCTGTGGTCTCCCAGCCCTCACTGCGGCCCCCAGGGGCTTGCAACCCAAAAAACCGCCGAGCTGGGCGGGGAAAGAAAAAAAAATGCTCCAAATCCCACAGCACCCGGTCCTGTGGGAAGAGCTAGGTTTTCTACGTGGTCTGTGTTTTGGCCTCTCACAGTTTTGGGGGTTGTGACCTGAATTTGGCACCAGGTCTCTGGCTTTTCCGTGTTAGGACACTCTCTCTCTCTCTCTCCTCTCTCTCCTCTCTCTCTCTCTCTCTCTCTCTCTCTCTCTCTCTCACACACACACACACACACACACTCTCTCTCTCTCTCTCTCTCTCACACACACACACACACGCTCACACACGCTCACATTCTGGCTTTTCCCTCTAAGGACACAAATACTCCTTCCCCCTCCCTCCTCCTTCCCTTCCCCCTTCTCCCTCCACCTCTCTCTCCCCCTCTCCTTCCCCCCTCTCTCCTTCCCTTGCTCTTCCCCCCCTCTGTCTTTCTTTCCCTCCTGCCCTACCCTTGTCTCTCTCTCTCTCCCTCTCTCTCTCCCCTCCTCCCTTCCTCTCCCTCTCCCTCCCCTCCCTTCTTTCCCCTCTCCCCCTTTCTCATCAAGTTCTCTGGCCTTTCCTTGTTGGGTCTCACTCTCACACATACACACAATTTTTGGCATCTAGTTCTTTGGCCTTTTCATGTTGGATCACACACACACACACAGTTTCTGTAACTATAATTGATGTATTATTATCTGCTTAGAGATGTTGAGGAAATGTATCTAGAATGACAAAAATGTATCTAGAAGACAAAAGAGTGGTTTTTTGTTGTTGTTGTTGTTGTTTTTAGCCAGTCCTGGGGCTTGTCCATTTTTTTCACCATGAGGTACATCGTTACTTCTTGTTATAAAATGAAACTATGGAGAGATTTAATGTTCAGAATATTAGAGTTTATCCAAGTACTGCAAACTCAGAGACCACCTATTTCCTTACTTTATGTGTTTATGTATTTATTGCTTTAAATAGAGAAATAGAAACTAATTTTGAAACAATTTTTCTTGCTCTATTACAGGATTTATATTCTGTTAGGGTTTTGAGGCATGGGTCCCATGGTAGAGCACCAGCCAATGAATGAAAGTGTCAGATAAGGAGTTCAAGTCTTGGTCTATGCCAAAAATATAAAAAAAGAAAGAATATGTATTCTGCTCAACCCTGCCTACACACACAAACACATACACACACACACACATACACACACACACACACACACACACATTTTCACTTTGTGCCATTTGTTTGGCTTTTTTTCTCAAAGCTAGCACTCCATCACTTGAGCTACAACTCCACCTCTGCTTTTGCTAGTTAATTGGAGATAAGTCTCTCCAGTTTGTTTCACTGGGCTGGTTTCATACCTCCATCCTCAGATCTCAGCCTCCTGAATAGCTAAGATTGCAGCCACCAGTGCCTGGCCTCTAGTTTTGTTACACTTAAGGTCTGTAATGATTCATGCGCTCTACCATCAAACAAATCATGAGCAGTATTGTTATTGAGTACATATTAAAATATCTGGCATATAAAATATTTACTGAAATATTCTGTTCAGTCTAGGAAATGCAATAACTACTTTCTGCGTATTTTGAATGAAGGACTGCTTTCTGTAAATAGGTAATATTTTAAAGCACTAGATTTCCATCCTCAAAATTGCTCTGTATTTGTAAATACAATTAGAAGAGCTGACGTAAATTAAATTCTCTTCTGTAGTCATTTGGAAGTGTAGTCAAGCTGTGGACCAGACACTTTACACTTTAGAAGGACTTTTTTTTTTTTTTTGGTCTGGTCATGGGGCCTGAACTCTGGGCTTGGGTGCTGTCCCTCAGCTCTTCAGCTCAAAGCTAGCGCTCTACCACTTGAGCAACAGCGCCACTTCCAGCTCTTTTCTTTTTGCTTATGTGGTGCTGAGGAATCAAACCCAGGGCCTTATGCATGCAAGGCAAGCGGTCTACCACTGAGCCACCTTCCCAACCCACTTTAGAAGGACTTGGCAGTGCATTTTAGGTACAAAGCAGTAAAAGAACCAGGTTGTCACTAGGTGTAGCAGCATAAATAATTTAAAATCAAGTAGTTTATTTCAGGCAGTAAACCTGTTAGTTGTCAAAATGGTCAAGGAAGAGGAGTCTCCACCCTATTGGAAGTCATTAAGTTACCAGTAGTGCCCAGTCTAGTAGCAAGAGTCACTTCTTGATGTCAGTAAAACTTACTGGATGAAATCTAGCCTTTTTTTAAATGTATATTTTTTATTGTAAAGATACTGTACAGAGGGCTGGGAAGTTGGCTCAGTGGTAGAGCACTTGCCTTGCATGCATGAGGCCCTGGGTTCGATTCCTCAGCACCACATATGCAAAAAGAAAAAAGCCGGAAGTGGTGCTGTGGCTCAAGTGGTAGAGCGCTAGCCTTGAGCTGAAGAGCTGAGGAACAGTGCTCAAGCCCAGAGTCAGACCCATGACCGGACCCCCCTCCCCTCAAAAAAAAAGATACTGTACAGAGGGGTTACAGTTATATGAGTGAGGAAATGAGTACATTTCCTATGAAGCATTGTTACTCATTCCTTTGTTTTTTCCCTACAATCCCTTCCCTCCCCACCTCCCCAACTCCTTCCTTCTCCCCTTCCATCCCCCTCCCAAATCTAGCCTTTTATTATTCAAGTTCCAAAGAAATAAGGACTAGAAACAATTTCTTTTAGTATACCACAACTTTGTCATCTATGCCACTTTTACTCTCTGATATTGTGTAACACACACAGCCGCATTTTACATTCTTATTTAATGGAGTGATGTCCAGTGAGAGTCCAGACAGAGGAATTCATATAAGTGGGTGTTGGTACTTAGTTCTGACTAGTAAACTTCCCAGTACTTATGATCATGTCCTTGTAAAAACAATATATGTCCTTATTACCTGTGGGTTAAATGGTTGCAGTCCCATCTTGTTGAGAACAAATGACTGTAGTCCCATCTTGTTAAGAACAAATCTGGTTGGTTTTTTTTTTTTTTTTTCAGATTAATTTGAGATGGATTAGCCTTGAACAAAAAAGCTAAGTGAGTCCTTTGAGACTCTAGGTTCAAGCCCCAGTACCAATACATTCTCTCTCTCTCTCTCTCTCTCTCTCTCTCTCTCTCTCTCTCTCACACACACACACACACACACACACACACACACACACACACACACACACACACACACACGAATCAGTTTGAAATAAATTTCCTGAATCATATCTCCATATACCTTTTTTTTGTGCCAGTCCTGGGGCTGGAACTGAAGGTGTGCGCGCTGTCCCTTAGCTTTATACTCTCAGCTTTTTTGTTTTCTCCTTTTTGTGATTAATCGGAGATAAAGAATCTAATGGACTTTCCTGTCTGGACTGGCTTTTCAACCATGATCTTCAGATCTCAGCTTCCTGACTGATTGGCATTACAGGTGTGAGCCACTGACACCTGGCTGAAACTTGATTTTTTGCATAGTACCAAAGGTGATTCAGATGCAGTTGGTTCATAGAGCTAGAACTGAACTGTATTATACTTGGAAAAGTAGGAATGATTCACAGAGGTTGAATTAAAGAGCTTTGAACAGAGAACTATGTTGGGCTGGGAATGTGGCTTAGTGCTAGCCTTTATCAGAAGCTCAGGGACTGTGGCCAGGCCTTGAGTTCAAGCCCCAGGACTGGCAAACCAACAACAAAAAACAGAGAACCGTGTTGATTTTGGTGGCATTCTTGCTCCAAAACATCAATTCTTAGACAGCATTAGCCAGCTCTTCAGTGTACTGAATCTTCACTTTTTTTTTTTTTTTGGGTCCGGTCGTGGGGCCTGAACTGTGGGCCTGGGCGCTGTCCCTCAGCTCTTCAGCTCAAGGCTAGCGCTCTACCACTTGAGCCACAGTGCCACTTCTGGCTTTTTTCTTTTTGCTTATGTGGTGCTGAGGAATCGAACCCAGGGTCTCATGCATGCAAGGCAAGCGCTCTACCACTGAGCCACCTTCCCAGCCCTATCTTCACTACTTAGATGGCCCAAATAATACTTACTGGAGGGGCTGAGGAGTTTTGAGCATGTTTATAGCTCTCAGTTGTACACGTTTTTGTTACTTAGCTAAATAAACTGCCCTCCTCTTTCCCTCTGTGGAAAGAACAGAGAAGGTTGATACTTTCAGATCCTGCTATGCTTGGCAGGTGGTGAAGGAGATAAAGCAACTTTTGTGACTCAACCAGGGGAATTTAATCCCTGTGAAATTGAGACTTGGGAGGGGAGGTAACTCAAACCACATGTAGCACAATGCAGGCGCCACCAGCTTGAGCCTGTGGCCTGGCCTTGCTGAAGTAGCGCACTTGCATTTCGTGCCTTATTTCATTGATTTCAATATGAAAATGGAGAAGAGATTTGGGTTTTAATGATCAATAGGAATCAACTTGTATGAAATTTGATACTGAAAAAAAGGAAATACTCATAGGAAATATTCATAATGGGAAACTGCCACCTCTGTTTAGGTCCAAACATTTGACAGCAGAAGAGAAACTTCGTACCCCCAAAACATTCACTTCC